GGTAGATAATGCACAGTGGTGACCCTCCTCGAGAAAATTTGCTTTGAAAAGCCTCTGCCGATCAGGCAACTCAGCTGAGATCGTCAGAAGCTTTTCAAAGCATTTTTTTAACCACCTCTTTGGCAGAAGAGGTTGCAGAAAAAAATGCTTTGAAAAGCCTCTGACGATCCCAGCTGAGCCGCACGATCATCAGAGGCTCTTTTTTTTTTTTTTTTACTTTTAAAAGCATTTTTTCGGTGGAAGAGGTTGTAGAAAAATGCTTTTAAAAGTAAAAAAAAAAGCCTCTGATGATCGTGCGGCTCAGCTGGGCATGGTGGGGGGCTGCAGGGATTTTTGCTACCGGTTCTTCGAACCACCCGCCGCCATCGCTACCGGGTCGGGAGATCTGGTCCGAACTGGGAGCATTTCACCCCTGTTTGAGGGACGATGCCCAAGTATGGCAGAGGAGAGGACCCTGTGCAGAAGCCATGACAGTGGCTTCACATCCTTAGGTTTGCCTGCGACCCCATCCTGAGTCTCAGCTCTTTAAATTCCATGCACTCCCAGATCATTCAGCAGGAATCTTTCCATCCTGTTCACTTGAATGCAATCCGTGTCATTTAATGTAAGCGGGGCTTAACTGAGATTCTGAATATGTGAAATTTGTAGGTGAGGTGCAGGGAAGCTAATCACAGTCCTGACTCTTCGACAGCGGAAACTGAGTCAGTGAAGATCAGGAGACAACCTAATGAAGAGGCTGGTGCCAGGGGTGAAATCCAACATTTTTCACTACCGATTCTGTGGGTGTGGCTTGGTGGGCGTGGCAGGGGAAGGATATTGCAAAATCTCCATTCCCACCCCACTCTAGGGCAAGGTTACTGCAAAATCTCCATTCCCTTTCCTCCTGGGGGAAGGATATTGCAAAATCTCCATTCCCATCCCACTCTGGGGCCAGCCAGAGGTGGTATTTGCCGGTTCTCTGAACTACTCAAAATTTCCGTTACCGGTTCTCCAGAACCTGTCAGAACCTGCTGGTGCCATATATCTGCAGGGATGAGGCCTACTGTTAACTCCTAGAAATACCGGTCCATGGTGACACCATATCCTTGCTTTGACTACCTATTCATTTGTCTAAGCGGAAACTTACCATGACCAGGTCCACAACTGCATCAAAGTTGCCATAAGGTAAGATTTGGTTTCGACTTGGTCTTTATTGCAAAGCCAGTCATTATGGTATATAAGCCATGATTTATATGGCAATCATTACTTGTTCCCCTCGGCAATAACTTATTTATGGAAATATAATTAGGTGAACCATAGCTTATGCAGTGTATGAAACTAGGATAATGCATAGTTTGGAAGAGGGTTGTTATTTATTTTAATGATTAGACACAAGGAAAGATTGTCATTTTTCCCCCTCGCCTAAAGCAGCAGAAGAGAAAAGATAAGCTATGATGTGGTTTCTCTAGCATGAATAAAGAAAAGAAGAATTAGGGCTGACGTGATAGCAGTATTCCAGTATTTGAGGGGCTGCCACAAAAAGAGGAGGGGGGGTCAACCTGTTTTCCAAAGCACCAGAAGGCAGGACAAGAAACAATGGATGGAAACTAATCAAGGAGAGAAGCAACCTGGAATGAAGGAGAAACTTCCTAACAGTGAGGACAATTAAGCAGTGGAATAGCTGGCTTTCAGAAATCGTGGGCGCTCCATCACTGGAGGATTTTAAGAAGAAATTAGACAGCCACTTGAAATAATATAGGTTCTCCTGTTTGAGCAGTAGGCTGGACTAGACGGCTTCCAAGGTTCTGTTCTGTTCTATTTTATTCCTTATTCTAATCTAATCTATTCTATTCTATTCTATTCTATTCCCTATTTATTCTATTTTATTCTATTCTATTCTATTCCTTATTCTATTCTATTCTATTCTATTCTATTCTATTCTATTCTATTCTATTCTATTCTATTCTATTCTATTCCTTACTCTACTCTACTCTACTCTACTCTACCCTACCCTACCCTACCCTACCCTACCCTACCCTACCCTACCCTCCTACCCTACCCTACCCTACCCTACCCTACCCTACTCTACTTCTATTCTATTCTATTCTATTCTATTCTATTCTATTCTATTCTATTCTATTCCTTATTTTACTCTACTCTACTCTACTCTACTCTATTCTATTCCTTATTCCACTCTACTCTACTCTACTCTACCCTACTCTACTCTACTCTACTCTATTCTATTCATAACTGGGTGAAAAATCCCCTATGACGAGACAGTTGCTTGATCATCTTCACTTGTGAAGGGACTGCTTTCTGGACAGAGAAAACCCTAGTACAAGAAGCAAGCAAAAAGACTGGGAATAATGCCAAGGAAGAGACTTCAGAGCTTGCAAGATTTAAAGTTTAGGTTACACGATTTAAAGTCAACAGACCGATGCCGTCCAGTGAAATCTGTTTCTTTGAAGGAATCTATCAATGCTTGCGCCTCTTAAAAGGAGAAATTTAGCAGGTGTCACATTATCCTGCACAGAAATGAGAAAGTTTAATGTCTTTAATTACAGTACTTTCCAAAAGGTGTTTGTGGATTTTTCTCTTTGGAAAGTAGCTCCTTTATTAAGTAGCCGGTTGGGCCAAAAGTGCTAGAAAAACTGTTCCAATATAAGCTGGAATTTCTCTAGCACACTCACACACACACACACACACAAGTAGCCATTAAGGAGCTGTTTGGCTAGGACATCAATGGGTTTTTACATCTCTTATTTTGGCCAGAGGCTTATTTTGAAAAGATTCCCAGTCCCTGGGCTCTTTCCAGATAGCAAATATTAGCAGATGGTGCTGAAAGCAGATAAAAAAAGGCCTTTGATAACTTCTTACTGCAGGTGTCAGTCTCCAGACAAAAAATAATGCAAAACAAGGCAGTGGCAGGTCACAATTGTTATTCAAGCCAGAAGGCCCAGCTGGATCAGGCAATCAGGGTGATGCACCCAAATCCCTTGGAGAATTGTCAACTATAATGCAGAACACAAAAACTTCAAAGCCCATTCAAGGCAGGACATCCAGCCCAACCTCAGCAAGCTGGTTGCCTCAAGACATTTTTTTTGGGGGGGGGGACTGCAGTATGCATTGCAAAGGTAAAGGTAAAGGTTCCCCTCGCACATATGTGTTAGTCATTCCCGACTCTAGGGGGCACTGCTCATCTCCATTTCAAAGCCGAAGAGCCAGCACTGTCCGAAGACGTCTCCGTGGTCATGTGGCCGGCATGACTATATGTATTGTAAAAGGGACACGGTTGCTCAGTGGATAAGACGCTGAGCTTGTCGATCAAAAGGTCGGCAGTTCAGCGGTTCGAATCCCTAGCGCCGTGTAATGGGGTGAGCTCCCGTTCCTTGTCCCAGCTTCTGCCAACCTAGCAGTTCGAAAGCACGTAAAAAATGCAAGTAGAAAAATAGGGACCACCTTTGGCGGGAAGGTAACAGCATTCCGTGTGCCTTTGGCATTGAGTCATGCTGGCCACATGACCACGGAGACGTCTTCGGACAGTGCTGGCTCTTCGGCTTTGAAACAGAGATGAGCACCACCCCTTAGAGTCGGGAACGACTAGCATATATGTGCGAGGAGAACCTTTACCTTTTTATGCATTGTAATCCAATCCCATCAATATAAACCTAACAGCTGAACGTGGAAGAAGGCAGGGATTATGGGAGTTGTAATCCACTGCAGAAAGAAAGGCACAACTTTTAAGAGTGGGGATGGGAAAGCTCAGCCTTCCGTTTACAAATTCTGCTCCCTTTCTTGCAAATGTTGTTCTCCCTTCCCAGAGCAGTTGAGTCGGCTTATCAGTCCAATGTTTTGAATTCTACTGTAATATGAAAAGAGATTTCAATAGATACTGTAGAAATAGATTTGCAAATCATCCCCAGGGCCAAAGGATGCAGGGAGGATTGGTGTTTTTTTAAAAACAACAACAACAACAATAATCGTGAAATTCTTCAGGTTCTATAAAGCAATGTAAATTCAATGAAGTTCTCTACATTTGCCTATTTTGCAAAACTGATTCTGGGAACCACAAAAATCAAGGGGTTCTCTGCCCTGTTGCTGGGTGGGCGTGGCCATGGTGGGCGTGGCCTAGTTGGCCTCCTGCAACATGGCCGGGGAGGAGTTTTTGCCCTCCATGGGCTCCAGAGGCTTTTCTCGAGCCTCCAGGAGGGTGAAAATGGCCTGCCCAGGTTCCAGAGGCCCTCTGAAGGCTGGAAATTCTGCCCTTCCCAAACTTCCAGTAGACCCGTTTTTCACCCTCCCCGAGCCTCTGCGTGTGCCCTGCATCTAAAATGGGCCTCGTGGGGACTCCTGGGAGGGGAGGGGTGGGCAGAGCCAGCCAGGAGTGGGATTTGGGGGTTCTCCGAACTGCACAGAATCTTAGCTAGAGGTTCTCCCGAACCCCTGCGAACCCCCCCCCCCCCCCCCGCAGCAGCCCACCCCTGCACATATGCCTGCAAAATACTGGGCTCCATAAGGCTCCAAGAATCTGCCTTTGCTTTAGTTATTTCTGCCTGGATGTGCTGAAAAATACTGTTGTTCAAGGAAGCAGAAATTACACTGCCATAAACGGGACATTCAGTGTGTAGCTTAAAATTCCAGGGCTAAATCCGACTCTCCAACTCTTTAAGTACCTTGCTCCAAACCCATTTGTACTGACTGGCAGGTATTAATGCAGAAAAAAAAAGGGAGGACAATTGTCACTTGCCACAACCTTGTCTGCCCTTAACAGACGAACAAGCCCGATTTCAATTCTATCCTAGCCCTATCTACTTATTTTCTTCCAAAGACCAAGTTTTATCCCAAATCAGTTGGACGTCTCTGCTTTAGATTCCCCGAGAATACAATCCAGTCCCCTGACTGTACTTGTGTAACCAAGGAATTTCCATCACGACAAAAGCCAGAAGTTCAAATGTCCTCGTTTGCTGGAGGAACAAATGATTTGGAGATGTAGAACAAGTCTCGGCTCGCTCGAAACTTACCCGGAGTATTTTGAGGACTCGGCTTGCACCTGGATTGCCCTCCACCGACCCTTTGTGGATTCTCCAACTCGAGATCTGTTCCAATGGCTTGACTGGCTAGTTGCTGAAGCCTGCTCAGTGCTCCACTCTCCTGTACCTGCTTGTTTCTTACACAGTGGGGTGGAGACGGTTTTCTTTTCTGCCTGTGTAGCATTGATCTTGTTTACCGGCGGCTCAGCTCACCTTGTTTTCCCCCTTGTCGGGGGTGGCAATTTGAGTGAATGTGTAATTTTCCAGAAGGTCAAACTTATCGTTTCCTCCTCTTCTGCTGGGCCGGTAATACTACCCCTTGTCCCAGGCAGAAATTGTAGTAGAGCATCCTTGACTCTTGTCGAATGAAGGTTGAGTGAATCTTGCACGCAGAAGAGCAAAAGACACCGTGGGGAATGATGTTCTATAGCTCTCTGGTCCTGACCTAAACCCTGAGCAACTCTTGACATTAATTCACATTTCCTGACAGTTTAGAACAATGAATCTATGGAACGACTTGCCTCCAGAAGTTGTGAACGCTCCCAACACTGGAAGGCAAGACGAGAAACAATGGATGGAAACTAATCAAGGAGAGAAGCAACCTAGAAGTAAGGAGAAATTTCCTACCAGTGAGAGCAGTCAACCAATGGAACGGCTTGCCTTCAGAAGTTGTGGATGCTCCAACACTGGAAGTTTGATGCTCCAACACTCTTGTAAGAAGAGACTGGACAGACACTTGTCTGAAGTGGTGTAGCGTTTCCTGCCCAAGCAGGGGGTTGGATCAGAAGACCTCCAAGACCCTTTCAAACTCTGTCATTCTATTCTAGATGGTCTAGCTAGGAACATCTTCCTTCCAGTTCACAATTTCAATCTCATGGAAGGGTTAAAAAAAAAAGACTTTCCACCTGACTAGGGGGCTCAGTGGCTAAGACACTAAGCTTGTCAATCAGAAAGGTCAGCAGTTTGGCGGTTCGAATCCCTAGTACAGGTCTCCTGCGTGATCAGGGGGTTGAACTAGATGACCTCCAAGGTCCCTTCCAACTCTGTTACTATTATTGAGACAGTTCCTGGCTGCATTCAAGGCAGCAAATAACTTTTCAGGTGCTGTCGAAATCGTTCTATGTGCCTCCATGAAAATATTTCTTCCTGCGGATGATAGCAGATAAATAGATCCAGGCAGCTTCGGTTGTCTATGATTAAGCAAGCTGTAAATTTGCCTTCCACATTCCTGAGTTTCTTTGTGGTTCTTTTGGTTTGGGCTGTGTTTTTGTTTTTTAAACAGCAGCCGAGAATCCTCAAGGATTAGGAGGTAGGCTTGAATGCCTGCAGGCAATAACTTGGGAACAGGATGGAAGGCAGAGAGAAGCTAAGCAGGTTCTCAGGTTCTCACCTGTGGGTGAGGCTTTCCAGAGAGGAAGGTTTTTACGCCCTCTTGAGAATTCTGCCTCCTACCACAGATGGCCAATGCAAAATAAAAGTCAACCGAATAGGACTTAGCAATAGCACTTAGACTTATATACCGCTTCACAGTGCTTTTTATAGCCCTCTCTAAGCGGTTCACAGAGTCAGCCTCTTGCCCCCAACAACCTGGGTCCTCATTTTACCCACCTTGGAAGGATGGAAAGCTGAGTCAACTTTGAGCCTGGTGAGATTCAAACTGCCAAATTGGAGGCAGCTGGCAGTCAGCAGAAATAGCCCACAGTACTGCACTCTAACCACTGCACCACTGCGGCTCATTAGAGTAAAGTCTAAAATTAATTTGCGCTGGTCTGGGGTTCAAAAAGTTGTTTATATTTGTATTTTTAGCATAAAAAAAGAGTTGAGTATTCAAAGCAAATCCTAATAATATACAACTATCTTCTCTCTATCTGTCACCCAACTTGTTAGTTGTCTACCTTCCTTCCTTTTTTTTTTTTTTTTTGGTGGTTTACTAGTTCAAGTAAAGATCCATGACAAAAAAGCCACATTCCAAACTTTACATAAGAATATTTTAAAAAAGGTGGACCCTATGTAGACAAAAATCTTGACTGTGAATTAAGAATGATAGCAATAGCACTTAGACTTATATACCGCTTTACAGTGCTTTTACAGCCCTAAGCGGTTTACAGAGTGAGCCTCTTTCTCCCAACAATTTGGGTCCTCATTTTACCCACCTCAGAAGGATGGAAGGCTGAGTCAACCTTGAGCCTGGTGAGATTCGAACTGCCAAATTGCAGGCAGCCGGCAGTCAGCAGAAGTAGCCTGCAGTACTGCACTCTAACCACTGTGCCACTATGGCTCATTGCAACTGCCATGGTTGATGATCCTAAATGCGGCCTGTATGGGATATTACCGTGCCCCAAACTCCACAGACATTTCCTTGCAAAAATTAAGCATGATAACAAAAGCAAGAAAGTTGCCTTACCTGTGTTTTACAGATCAGTTTTCAGCTGTCCTCGTCTTTGTTCTGTTGTTTTTTTTTTCCCTGGCAGTCTCAGGTGTCTTCCTGCCCCTCAAACTCTCCAATCGTCCCCACTTTTTATCTGACACACTTTTGTTTGTGAGTCATGCAAGCAACTGATGCTCTGTGGTTTGAGAATGAGTCAGTGACATGATGTCAGGCAGACAGGAGGCAAAGCTGTGCCAACGCAAGGGAAATTGAGCCACCAGGGAAGAAAAATGCAGGCCAGAGACCTAACCTCAAAATGCTCTGGATGTGAGCCTTGAAGGCTCCTAACACAACGAGAGAGAAACGGAAGAAACCCCAGCCGGAGCCATCTGCAACTCGCCCAAATTTTAAAACGATGGCCAACTGTTGTGGCCCCTCTCTAGAATTTACCTCAGAGAAAAAATTTATTTGCCTGTGAAAATGAAGCACCAGACAGTCGGCGTTGCTCAAAACAAACCACAGGATACAAGACAGAAACATTCGAGCAAAGCAGGAATCCACGTGGATAATTACAATTTTCCAAAACATCTAAAGGGCAGTTTAACCTTAACTCTAAAATAACGGCTTTAGTCCTTCAACATCAGCCATCTCTCAGCAAACTCTGAGTTTACTTGGCAGAAACCCTGAGAGTTGCAGAGGATTTCTGAAGCAGGCCAGACTTCATCTGTGCCTGGAAAATAAACCACAATGCATCTCAGCCTGTTAATTTTAGACAGACCGGTTTCTAATAATTGAAGCCAAGGTTTGTTTTTTCCCCCAACCTTACAGAAGATTGAACTGGACATCATTCTCAAGCAAAATAGATGGACTATCACTAAGTTACATCTTTCTTTAGATGTCTTTTGATTTCTATAGGATGTCTTGGGCGGGGGGCGGGTTGGACTAGATGACCTACAAGGTCCCTTCCAACTCCGTTATTCTGTTGTTTTTATTATTATTCTATCTTTGGATTTCTACAGGAAATCGAAGTCAATGGGGGAAACCAGATTCACTTAACAACCATGTGACTCATTAAACAATTGCAATGATTCATTTAACAACGGTGGCAAGAAAGTAAAATGGAACAAAACTCACTTACCAAATGTCTCACTTAACAATAGAAATTTTGGGCTCAATTGTGCTCATAAATCAAGGACTACCTGTATTAGGAGCTGTAATAGAAAACAGCTGGAGAATTAGGCAATGCTACAGTATTTTAAAATCCTACTAGAGTGTGATTAAAAGAGCATTTGCAAAATCTTCCCTGCCAAAGAGATTCTTAACATACATCTACTCAAGAATCACATTTATTTGGGGGAAAAAAAATATGAATTCTATCCAGTAACAAGTTCAATTTTTCAAAACTATGGTAGCAGCATAACCTTCATTCCAGGCTACGAACTGGATACCTTTTTCAGATGGAGGCTACCCTTCACTTATGTTTATTTTCCTGGTCTTAAAAGACTGTAAGAATGGCTGTAACATTAGTTGAGACCCCACTGATATCTTCTGCCCTTTGTGGATGCGGGATGGATGAGAAAAATGCAAGGAGTGGACGGGATCAATTTTAAAAAAAATCAAATTTGAATCATCTGTTAGATTGGCAATCCCGTTAAGATTTCTGATTTGGAAAATCAGTTTAATTCAGGTGTCTGTGCAGACCCGGAAGATATTTCAAAATTATTTAAAAGCATCTGATTCGGAGCTCTAAAACCATTCAATAATTCATGTTAAATTCATCTGAACTCTCTTCATCCCTGTACGTCTAGCAATAAATCCTACGAAGGTTGCCACACCTATTTTCAGTGGTTTTCCTAGCAAAAGAATTCCACATGATTGTGTTTTGCTATCTAAATTCAACAAAGTCATCAGAAGGTCTCTAGAGGATGCAGAGTCTAAGGCGGATATAGATATATAGATATATATATAACCTACTAGTTATCCATGCCTTTTAGACCCGGCAAACATTAATACATTTAATTCCTTCTAAGTCTTCTACATCCTTGCTAGGATATCTCAGGAAAGAAGAGCTTTAAAGATCTGGTTCCATTCTCCAGATCTGACACCGAGTGCCAGGAACCTGTTTGAAGATCTAGGAATGTTCCACTTCATCCAGAGAAATCAAGCGGGAAGCAATTGCAGTGAATACTTTTGTGACTATAAAAACTGTATTTTCAAAAAGCAAGGTTCTGCATTTAGACAAGAAAAACAAAATGCACAGGTACAGTATATGTGGTACCTTGCTCAATAGTAGTAACTGTGAGAGGGATCTTGGAGTCCTAATGGACAACCATTTAAATATGAGCCAGCAGTGTGCAGCAGCTGCCAAAAAAGCCATCACAGTCCTAGGCTGCATAAACAGAGGGATAGAATCAAGATCACGGGAAGTTTTAATACCACTTTATAAGGCCTTGGTAAGACCACACTTGGAATCCTGCATCCAGTTTTGGTCGCCACGATGTAAAAAAGATGTGGAGACTGTAGAAAGAGTGTAGAGAAGAGCAACAAAGATGATTAGGGGACTGGAGCTAAAACATATGAAGAATGGTTGCAGGAACTGGGTATGTCTAGTTTAATGAAAAGAAGGACTAGGAGAGACATGATAGCAGTCTTCCAATATTTCAGGGGCTGCCTCAAAGAAGAGGGAGTCAAGCTATTCTCCAAAGCACCTGAAGGCGGGACAAAAAGCAATGGATGGAAACTAATCAAGGAAAGAAGCAACCTAGAAGTAAGGAGAAATTTCCTGACAGTGAGAACAATTAATCAGTGGAACAACTTGCCTGCAGAAGTTGTGAATGCTCCAACATTGGAAGTTTTTAAGAAGATGTTGGCTAACCATTTGTCTGAAGTGGTGTAGGGTTTCCTGCCTAGGCAGGGGGTTGGACTAGAAGACCTCCAAGGTCCCTTCCAACTCTGTTATTCTATTATTCCATTAAACCAAAACTTACCTCCATTCTCCTAGGATTAGGGAAACAGAACTACCAAAAGACAAATCTGATTTCTAGTGAAACTTAAACCCTTGCTCTTCTTCTGCTTAGAAAGGAGCAAAGCCGGCATATGAAATAACACAAAACAAAGCTTCCCCCCCATCAGAATACAGTAAAATATATTTATTGGGGGGGAGGATTGTCAAATAATGTTATTTTTCAAGGCGTTTTTCCAATAAAAAGCCTGTAACAAACATCTCAGTATATGATGTTGCAACCAGCAAATTAAGATGTTGCACGATGATTTAGAAAGCTTTCAAGAGTCTGTAGAATGACATTCTGGTTTGTTCCCCAAAAGGCTTCTCACATCGTCCATCATCTGTACTCTTCTCATTATTAGGGGGGGATGTAATATTGGAGGGACCTGGACTTTTGATCACAGCAGTTTGAGTGCGGATTTGAATCCCAAGGGATCGGATTCTCCTTGATAGGCAAGCTTAGCAAAAGTGACTGGAACGAGAGAGAAAAACGGGGGAAAAAAGAAAATACAACTGGTCAGTTGGGCGAATAAGTTGCAGAAAAACACATGCAATGTTCAGTACTGTGAATTCTTGTTAACACTTGCTCGCATTCCATGAAATAGGATATAGCGTAGGTGGCTTAATGCTCCCCCTCGAGATTGTTTTTGAATATGTGCCCGTTTTTAAAAGATACAGAATAGAAAGCCAGGACAGGCTCACCAAAGGAGACACATAAATGTGCATTTTGGGGGTGATCTTTTATTCTGGTGATAGGCCCTCATTCAGCATCATTACCTTCCAAGCTCCTGAAACAGTGCTTCGCTGTCAGGACTGATTTTTGAGCCGTCTTTCAGCTGGGCAACATCCAGAATCTGATTCTCTAATGGGAAAAGTATGCAATCTACTCTGAAGAATCCAAAACCTAACATTGAGTGCTTAATGTTGCACTCATCAATGGACACACCTGGGCGCATCATCACCCAGGGCTGAATATTTCTGGCTGAGAGCTGCTCACTGATTTACAATTCTGTCTATTTTTATGACATCTGTTGCTAAATAGGCTAACTAAAACATATAAAGAACAGTTATAGGAATTGGGTAGGTCTAGTCCAGGAGTCTGCAATCAGTGGCTCTGGAGCCGTATGTGGCTCTTTCATCCCTCTGTTGCGGCTCCCTGTCACTGAAAATATGAGTCATAACCGCCAATGTGTGACACCTGCCAGCACGTGATTGATTGAGCTTTTCGACCCATCTTTTTTTTTATTTTCAGAGTTCGAAATGTGTTTGTTGCATGGGGAAATACAAATTTGTTTTCTCTGTAGCAGTTCATTGATTTCATAAATGCAACACTATCATTTTTTTATACATAGCATAAAGGTTAAAAACGATATATGCAGTGTTATCTTCATTTTAGATTGTCAAAACGATTTTGTGGCTCCCGGTGTTTTCTTTTCTGTGGGAAACGGGTCCAAAAGGCCCTTTGAATGTTTAAGCTTGCCTACACCTGGTCTAGTCTAATGTAAAGAAGGGCTAGGGGAAACAGGATGGCAACGTTACAATATTTGAAGGTCTCCTACAAAGACAAGGGAGGGGGATCAAACTATTTTCCAAAGCACCATAAGACAAGACAAGAAACAACGGATGGAAACTAACCAAGGAGAGAAGCAACTTAAAACTAAGGAGAAATTTCCTAACAGGGAGAGCAATCAACCAATGGAATTGGAGGAGGAGAATGTCTGCAGTGGATCCACCAATATCAAGGGGTCTTCTTATAATTTAGGACTCGCCTTGTCAGAGGCAATTAGCCCCGTTACCTTCCTGGGGTAATTGCCTGGATCGTGGCATTTTCCTTGGGTATATTTTGAAAAATAAAACCAGAATACATCTTCTAATAAACTCATATTTATTGTAAAGAAGAAAATAAAACATCTAACTATCTAAATATTTAATTGTTACATTTTTGCAAAATTCCTATCGGCTACTTCTCAGTAGCCGGACTTCTCTTGGCAAGAGAACAAAGAAAAGTGTGAAGTAGAAAGAAAGGAATGTGGATACACGTAGTTAGCTTACTGATAAGAAATTTTGGCAAGCTACGGAAAGTCTGACAGTCCAGAAATATGAGCTCAGCTGGTAAATACAAAAACACAGTGACACGCCTATAGGATATCCATGCCCCCCCCTGCATGGTTAGTTTTCAAAGAAGCTTTACATATGTTTAAAAGTGTAGACTCTGGTGGTCCATCCCTAGACTGATTAAAGGATGTCTTTTTTTTTTTAATTTGATTTATATGCCGCCCTTCTCCGGAGACTCGGGGCGGCTTACAATGTGCTAAGCAATAGCCTTCATACTTTTGTATATTTATACAAAGTCAGCTTATTGCCCCCACAACTGGGTCCTCAATTTACCTACCTTAGAAAGGATGGACGGCTGAGTCAACCTTGAGCCTTGGCGAGATTCGAACCTGCAGTAATTGCAGGCATCTGGTCTTAATAACAGGGTGCCTTAGACCACTGTACTACCAAGGCTCTTAACTGGAAAGCCCCTTGCCCCAGTTGGCATTACTGAAAAAAGAATTCAGTGTTAGGGTCTATTCTCCTTATCCAGTCTTCCTGCTTTTGCACATAAGCAGACACAAAGAAGTTGCTGTGCCCAAAGGAGTTCCTTTGTGCAATGGGCACGTGGTAGAGCAATGGAACAATGGGGTTGACCCATTCAAGACAGCATCATTAACTCTGATGCGTTTCTGTAGGAAGGGAGGCAGCTGGAGGGAGGGACGGAGGGAGTCAGAAAGGCCTGTCAGCAACTTCTCCTGCTTATGCAAGCAAAGCTGTCAGAGCTAAGGAATCCATAGATGGCAAACGCCAGGACCTTGTAATTTTACACAGCAAGCCTCTGCCTCCTGCTACGGCCGCCTCCCAGGTGTAATGGGATGGCCTTTTGCAAAATGGAAAGGGCAGCATGATTAAAAGGGTCGGGGGCACATTCCATGCGCCTTGCGGACTGGCAGGGGATGGGTTTTAATTAGCTCAACTGCAACGAACCCAGAGAGAAATTTGGATGTGGCGGCTGGGAAGTGAGGACAGCGGGGAATGTCAAAGGCCACGCTTTTTGGGAAAGGAGCAAAAGATTGAAGCTCCATGTGGCCGCTTCTCCAATATTTGCTCATTAAGAGATGGCCTCCACCAACACAGCTGGAGAAAAGTATCCCTTATGGAAGGGAAGTTCTCCGTATGAAGGCTTTTATTCTCGACATTTTCTGGGTGAACGGAGATGCAACCATAAAAATGGTTGCTAAGTTTCTGCAAACATTTATTTTTTGGTGACCTCCAATCTACCCCGTTTCCCCCCAAAATAAGACATCCCCTGATAATAAGCCCAATCGGGCTTTTGTGGTCATGGCAATAAGGCCAAGCGTTTATTTCAGGGTTCAAAAAAATATAAGACAGTGTCTTATTTTTGGGGAAACATGGTAGGTATTTTCACAACCAACTGAGGCTAAACTTTGGTTAGATTTGGAATCACACATGACATTCCCCGGGATAGAAAAGATTTTAGTGCTGCTGAACGAAACACTCAGCATTCCTTCAACAGGTCATATTGGCTGAAGCTAAGAGGCTGAAGCTGTTTAACGTCTCTACAACCCTACAGCTTCCCTATCCTTGCTTTACTTCTCATTTCAGAGCATTGCTTCAGATCAGCGTTTGTCAACCTTGCAATTTTAAGTTGTGTGGACCAATGATGGGAGTCAATTTTTTTTTACTACCAGTTTTGTGGGCATGGCTTGGTGGGCGTGGTGTGACTTGGTTTGGTGGACGTGGTGTGGCTTGGTGGGCGTGACAGGGGAAGGATACTGTAAAATCTCCATTCCCTCCCCACTCCAGGGGAAGATTACTGCAAAATCCCCATTGCCTCCCGATCAGCTGGGACTCAGGAGGCAGAGAATAGATGGGGGTGGGGCCAGTCAGAGGTGGTATTTACCGGTTCTCCAAACTACTCAAAATTTCCACTACCGGTTCTCCAGAACTGGTCAGAACCTGCCGAATACCATCTCTGGTGTGGACTTCAACTCCCAGACTTCCCCATGCTGGCTGGGGAATTCTGGGAGTTGAAGTCAACAATCTGAAAGTTGTCAAGATTGAGAAACCGCTATATCTTGATCTAGCTATTAAAACATATTGCTCTTTTTATTCTGTTGGCATTTTGTTTCAGGATTGCAGCTACTGGGAAATTAATTAGGCTTCTTTGGACCTGGGCCACTTAGATGTTTTAAGAAATTTAAAGCTGCCTACAGTCGCCAATTTGAGCCTGCTTCATTTTTATTTTGAACCACTACATTTCCTCTCATCTCCCACTATTTTTTTTTTTTTATTTTTTGCAAAAGAGTAGCAAAAAAGTCCTGTAGAACTTAAACCAAGCCAAGCTTTCATTCTGTGTACCAATGCGATAGAGACATTGGCAACATCGGTATTTAGAACATGGAGAGTAAATGTCAGTCATTTTTTTTTTAATATTACCGGTATCAACTTATTTTGGGGGGGCCACAAAAGCACAGAACAGCATCCAAAACCCTAACATTACAGAAGACTAAATATTCAGCAATTGGAAATAAAGCTGTTTAACTTGCAGGGAAAGGTTCAGAACTGCGTCACAGGGTCTGGCTTTCCTATCAGAGCAAGATCTTTTCTTTCTAAAACAAAGATTTGGCTGAGTTTTCCAGCCAAATATTCTTGACCTATTTTTCAGAACAATTACTATAGAGGAAAACCAAACAAAACCCAAAAATGTCAGGTTAAAGATGCCAAGCAAACAGCCACTGCTTTATTTCACTAATACCATCTAGAATAGAATAGATTTTTTTTATTGGCCAAGTGTGATTGGACACACAAGGAATTTGTCTTGGTGCATATGCCAGTGGTGAAATGTAAAATTTGTTACTACCGGTTCTGTGGGCGTGGCTTGGTGGGGGGGGGGTGTAATGTGACTGGGTGGGCGTCGCCAACTTTTTTTAAAAAAAAACTTTTAAAAGCATTTTTTCTGCAACCTGGTTGTAGAAAAAATGCTTTTAAAAGTTAAAAAAAAAAAGCCTCTGATGATTGCACAGCTCAGATGGGCATGCGGGTGGGGGGGGGAAGGGATTTTTGCTACCAGTTCTCCAAACCACCCGCCGCCATCGCTACCAGATCGGGTGATCCAGTCCGAACCGGGAGCATTTCACCCCTGGCATATGCTCTCAGTGTACATAAAAGAAAAGATACGTTCATCAAGAATCATAAGGTACAACACTTAATGATAGTCATAGGGTACAAATAAATAAATAAATAAATGAGGTAGGGGGTTATGATGAATTCTGTTAATGGTTTTTTAAGTCCAGCAAAAAGAAAAGAAGTTGAAGCAAAACCTTTCTAAGGACTGGAATGGATTTTCAATTGAAACAGGTTATAATTGAAGAAGCAGAGTTTATGAAGACGAGAACAGCCAGCTCTTTAAACCTGACGTCTGCAAAGATTGATTTCACAGACATTTATTTTTTAAAAGTACGTTTCTTGTTCCTTTTGAGACCTGGATCTTGCCCAGTTCAAACGCAAGCCACTCAAGATTAAATTTGCATCTCACTCCATCCATGAAATGCTGAGCTTATTGTGTGTCTTTGCACAACCTTTTGGTTGTGCAAAGGTTCTGCCTTTGCATTTAAAAACTTTGGACCAAAATGTCACCGGATTGGAAGTGTACTGGAACAATCCTCAAAAAATATTTGAATAACTGATGCTCATATTTCTGAATCTATTGGGGAACAGGCACTGGTGAAATTCAATTATTTTTACTACCGGTTCTGTGGGCATGGCTTGGTGGGCGTGGTGTGGCTTTGTGGGCGTGGCTTTGTGGGTGTGGTAGGGGAAAGATACTGCAAAATCCCCATTCCCTCCCTACTCCTGGGGAAAGAATATTGCAAAATCTTCATTCCCACTCCACTCTGAAACCAGCCAGAGATGGTATTTGCCAGTTCTCCAAACTACTCAAAATTTCCGCTACCGGTTCTGCAGAACCTGTCAGAACCTGCTGGATTTCACCCCTGGGAACAGGCCTACAAAAGATGAGATCTCTTAATTCTTCTAAGCAACATGCCGTCACTGGTTTCCCTCACCTGTGAGTGACAGGCAAGAAAACAGCCCCCAGCAAAGACATGGGAAGGCTGGATAGAAGAAAGAATTCGGATTCCCTTTCATTTTCAACTTAATCTTAATTAAATACTGTATCCATTTACTCCTTGATCCAAGGAGATGGGGGAATTTGAGGGGCCCTTGGTGCTCTCTGAGCTTGGCTGTTTTCTTGTAGATGTTTCATTACCCAAACTAGCTAAGATCATCAGTGCAAACCCTATTCCCTTCTAGCACTGATGATGATACCTAGTATGGTAATGAAATGTCTGCGAGAAAACAACCAAGGTCCGAGACCACCAAGGGCCTCTCATTTCAAACCTGAGCTACAAATATTCTCCTTTATTGGTACCACAGATGGGGAAATTTTCATTCCTCCAACTCCAACTTCCTTCAGTCTTTTATATAACTCCTTAAGCCTCGCAGAATTTGCTGATCCAGATTTTTTTATGTCCAAGCTGAAGGAGGAAATCTGACCTCGCCTAATATTATGCTCTCCGTGTCCCCCCCTCTTTCCATTCAGGTTTCTCCCCATCCTTTCTGAATGAGTCACTCTCAAGCTTGGCTAAAAGCAGGGAGTTTCAGCCTAGCATGACAGCCACTGTCAAAAATGGTTAATGCATCAGACAGGGTTGAATTTGGATGGGAAACAGGAGGCTTCAATTAATGCTGATCCATGGATTTTGCCACTTGCCCTCAAGCAAAAATGGGGAATCATGGATGCCTACCAGCTTTTTCAGACTATCCCTTGACATTAGATATACTGTTCAGGATTGTCGGTAACTAGGGCACTGGGTTGATGACTTCCATACTACGGCACTCACTCAGCCAAATCCTATTAGGATAAAAAAAGTTACCGCCCAAAAACTTTGTATGCTACAGCTCTTAGATCAGGAAACAAACTTCACCAAAAAAATTTCTTTAAAAGTCTATTTTGTTGATCTAGGCCGGGGGTCCTCAAACTTTTTAAACAGGGGGCCAATTCATGGTCCCTCAGACTGTTGGGGGGGGCTGGACCGGCTGGGCGGGCATGGCTAGGTGGTCATGTGACTGGATGGCGTTGCTAGGTAGTCATGTGACTGGGTGGGCATGGCCAATTTAGCAGTCCAAACAATACACACAAATTAAACTTTAATTTGTTTTGCTCCGGGGGGTGGGAAGCAGGTTAATGAAGGGATGTGGCTGCCTTGGGGTGTGTATGAGGGACTTCTGTTTGTGTGTGTGTGTCTCTCCCTCCCTCCCTCTTTCTCTCTCTCTCTCTGGAGGCCGGAGAGGCCAAAAACGGGCCCATTTTTGGCCTCCCGAGGCCTCCAGACATCCCATTTTTGGCCTCTGCGGCCTCCAGTACCACTCTGCTGCCCAAAAACGGGCCCCGTTTTTGGCCTCCTGAGGCCTCCACTTGTCCTGTTTTTGGCCTCCCTGGCCTCCAGAAGGAGGGTGGGGCTGGTGGGTAGGCGGGGCAATGTGGGCGGGGCAGCCTGGTGGTGGTCCGACGTGGGTCAGATTAATGGCTTTGCCCACGGCTGTAGTTTGAGGACCCCTGATTTAGGCTATAGTAACAGCATTTTCACTTCACTTCTTCTCCTTATACCAAAGACAGTCAAGGTGGGAAAACTTTGACTTTCTTTCTCACATTTTCTTGTTTTCTCAGGCTAAGCTCATGTTTTACTCAAAGTTTCCACCTATTTTCTTCAGGAAAGCCCATCTCTGCTTTCCTTAAGAGTACACAATTTGCTTTAATCGCCTCAGAAGTCAAATTCAACGCTGGTGCTCCTCAGACTTGGAACGAAGCTGGGAAGGTTGTGTCACTATTTAAGCCTGGAGAAGTGAATTCAAGTCTTCCCTCCTTCGTGAAGTCGTGCCACTGCATTCAGTGACAGTTAAAATAGAGAGGGATGGCCACTTGAGAGCACTTGGATGGAGAATCATGAACTGTACGAATCTGTTTTCAGATTATTTGACCTGCTTTTGCCAGCAGCCAAGAATTTTGCCTATAAATCTCTTTTGTTCCATGTTTATGTGGCAAGAAAGAAAAACCACAAGGAATGTGGAACAGATGCAAAAAAAAAAAAGGGCAACATCCAACTCTTCTGCTTAAAATACATCCAAGGCAAGAAAAAAAAAAAAAGACAGCATGCAAATAGGAAAGTCCAGTCACTGATTTACTTTAAAAAAAAAGAAAGAAAAGAAAATGAAAGGAGAAAGGGAGGGAAAGTAAACATACCAAGTTTTATTGGAAAGTCTACTGGCACCATTCATTTTAAAAGAAAGGAAGGAAAGAAAGAAAGAGAAAGAAGGAAAAGAAGAAAGAAAGAAAGAAAGAAAGAAAGAAAGAAAGAAAGAAAGAAAGAAAGGAAGGGACTAGTCAAGGAGAACCTGAAGATAATAACTAGGATTATTTTCAGATAATTGTTGGAAACTGCTTGGGCTAATGATAGAGCTCTTGAAAAGAACATGCTTAATAAAAATGCGCCCTGTTAAAGGGTTTCATCAATGGAATTGTGGGAAAGAAATCAATAACTACAATGCTGCTACCAGCATTCCATAGTTGATAATATCATTAGGAAGAACTTGGCTGGGTCAGGCTTAGCTGTTTGACTTATGCAACCGCCAACCCGATGCATTCAAGAAGCTTTTAACCACAGGGAGGAAGCCTATCTTTCAATATTAATAAGATTAGTGGTCATTAATAGCCTTTTCATTCATTCATGACTGTGCTTCCTTTCAAACTGTCAAAATGCGTGGCCATCACGGCATGTAATGCCACTGCATTCCTCAGTTTAACTAACTCCTGGGTGAAAAAACACTTCCTTCTACCGCAGCGTTTCTCAACTCTGGGGACTTGAAGAAGTGTGGACTTCAACTCTCAGATTTTCCCAGTCAGATTGCTGCTCTGCCTTGATTTAGGAGGTTATTATCTAAGACATATAGCTTTTAAAGTCTATTTTAAGTTCTTCCAGGCATCTCTCTTAGCTGGAAAACCCAGTCTATATCCCAAAGAGCAGTGGGGGTGTAGTGGTTAGAATGCAGTATTGCAGTATTGACCACAGTCTGAAGTTTGATCTTGTTGAACTCAAGGTTGACTAAGCCTTCCATCCTTCCGAGGTCAGTAAAATGAGGAGCCAGATTGTTGGGGACAACAGGCTGACTAAGTTTAAGTGCTATTGCTATCTTTCAGCGCCATTCTTCACCCAATGGTCACTTATATAACGGACATTTATCAGGGACATTTATAGATATTTCAAGAAAACTGGAAGACATCTTCATGGCATTGGTTGTGTCAAAGAGCTTCTCATACACAAATATGACAGAGCACCTATCCAGGTGGAAAAAAATATCCCCTGGTTGAGATACAAGAAAACAGGACTGTTGCTTGTATACAATCATGGATCGTGTTGAATGACACACCTACCTTATCAAGCACCACCTTGGCATGGTTATCTGTCTCTGCCATCCTGAGAAATTAAATCCAGATCTACATGTACATCATTTGAATGTTTATTCCTGACACCAACCTGAAATAATTTAAGAAGAGGGTAGTTTGAATTAACTCACAAAATTAATTACTAGATGTCAACAGCTAGGTTACTGGGACTAAATGGGTGATGGGAATGATGAGAAGATTAATAGTAGTGCATATTTAGTGAATAGTTTGACAGTGTTGAGGGAATTATTTGTTTAGGAGAGTGATGGCGTTTGGGGAAAAAAGTGTTCTCGTGTCTAGTTGTTCTGGTGTGCAGTGCTCTATAGTGTCGTTTTGAGGGTAGGAGTTGAAACAGTTTATGTCCAGGATGTGAGGGGTCTGTAGATATTTTCACAGCCCTCTTTTTGACTCGTGCAGTATAAAGGTCCCCAATGGAAGGCAGGTTGGTAGCCATTGTTTTTTCTGCAGTTCTAATTATCCTCTGAAGTCTGTGTCTATCTTGTTGGGTTATAGAACCAAACCAGACAGTTATAGAGGTGCAGATGACAGACTCAATCATTCCTCTGTAGAACTGTTATTATTGCAAAAACCATAAATATAATTCCTCGCATCCTCCAACAAGACCCCAACTTCTAAAACTCAGGAGGCATGGGCTGGTCAGCCAACTCTAAATGCTCGTGTATACAATATAGAGCCAGTTTGATTTAATGGTTAAGGCCCCAGCGTAGAAAGGAGGAGACCTTGAATTCAGGTGCGGTTTGAACCATGAAAAGTCAGCTTGGTGACTTCGGGCCAGTCAACGCACTCTCAGCCCAACCCACCTCAGGGCAGTTGTTACAAGGAAAATAGAAGGAGAAAGGTGTGTCGTATTTATTCGCTGCCTTGAGTTATAACAATAAACAATAAGGCTGGGATACAAATAAATCAATAAAAGACCTTGAAAAGGATGCTTGAGAATCTAAATCAGATAGGCATTCGTGTGGCTGTCTTCTAGACACAAGACTGACCCCTTTCATTTGATCAAAGGTGGCAATTATCCCCTTAAATGAGAAGTCAGCAGTGCATCCTTAAAAAGACAGTTTAAGGGTAACAATTTTGTACAACTGCTAATTTGGAAGGAGGAGAAGGCTGCTGCAGGGAAATGCCCACCCGGGAACATGAAAAACTGGACTGAGTAACAGTTTGGTCTTCAAGTGCTTATTGCAATCTGCAATAAGATTGATTATGAGCCGCGGTGGCACAGTGGTTAGAGTGCAGTATTGCAGGCTACTTCTGCTGACTGCCGGCTGCCTGCAATTTGGTGGTTCGAATCTCACCAGGCTCAAGGTTGACTCAGCCTTCCATCCTTCCGAGGTCGGTAAAATGAGGACCCAGATTGTTGGGGGCAAATATGCTGACTCTGTAAACCGCTTAGAGAGGGCTGTAAAGCACTGTAAAGCGGCATATAAGTCTAAATGCTATTGTTATTGCTATTATTGGGAACGGGTTGGGAAGGAATTACTGGGGAGCAAACAGAAAGAGGGAAAAAAAATACTACTACTACTACTAAAAAAATACTACCAGCAACTTTACTACATGTTAACAAATAGCATAATAAGCCTGCATGATCAACATGTGAGCTTGTCTTGCTTCAAAAGAAGGGCAAAGAGGAGTCAGTTAAGTCAAATTTTATTTTTTTTCTGCCATCTACAAATCTCCACACATGTTCTTTTTAACACTGAAATATTATATGCGAGTGATTTCCATATTTTGCACACAAAATATGAAAGACCCGGCTTGAAACGGTACCATTTCTACTGTAAAAGCTAAACGACCGAAAGAAAGGACAAGAAAGAGTTTCTGAAAAATAAATAAATCTAATGGACAGCTTTCTGAAACAAAGGACAATAAAGGACAAATATTATACATTTCTCTCTCCACTCCCTTTTGAGGATGACAACCATTTCTGAGTGGATTTGGTAAATCCCAGGATAAAGGGATTTTTGCACGACTTAGTGTGTGGTTAGCCATACTATAATTTTTTTATTTAAAAAGACAACAAAGCAAAACATTTAATTGACTGCCTTCATGGGGGGAAAAAAAAAAGTCAAGCACTCAGAGGAATTTTAATTACATTTGTTAAGGCCTTGCGCGTGAAGATTTTTTTAAAATTTTTGTTTTCCAAAGCATGTGTATTTAGAACACACTGTGTAAAACAAACATATAAATGGACCTGTACGCTGCACGAGTCAAAAAGAGGGCTGTGAAAATATCTACAGATAAAGCTGAAACCCACCTCTGCCCTAACCCCAAGCAGAGTAAAGCTATTAAACTTCCATCTCATTCAGCTCAAAGTCTAAAAGAAAATAGACGCAATATTGGAAGAAGGAAGATTTGCCTACTATTGAAGAATGGACATTAAAAGTAGCGAATTTGGCAGAAATGACGAATATTTGAAAGATAATTCACAAGAAAGATATATATCGGAATGGAAAAGATGGATTGATTATATTCAAAACAAATATTGGACTAAAAAAGTATCAAATAGCTTATGAATGAATAGAAAAATTAAGAGTATTTATATTTAGTTAAGTAAAAGGGGAGTTAAAGTGTGAAGGGGGGGGGATAGGAATCCCTAGTTAGTTTAGTTAAGTTAGGTTAATATTGTTAAATTTTATACCCTGTATTTTGTTTTGGGAAAGTTCGGGGGGGGGCGTTGTGGGGGGTAAGGAAGGGAGGGGGGAATGGGGAAATAATTGTAAAAAAATTTTCTTTTGAAAAATTTTTTTAAAAAAATAGAAAAGACTTCAGACTTAAAAAAAAATAAAGTTGTGACATTATGCATAATTGTGCGGCTAAACAGTTTTTGGTAAACAAGCTATTTGCCCAATTTGGGGGTAACATGATTCACACTTCCTTAAAGGAGGGCTAGTAGGGAAAAATAAATGACAGTTACCCAATTCCCATTGTGACAAGCAAAAGTTAACAGACTGTCCTTTCTGCTCTGGAATTTACATTCCACAGATTGAGGGGGTCAACAAGAGTTGTCCAAACATATGAGAAATTCTAATTTTAGTTCCAGAGCTGACAGTTATAAATTAAATACAGCCTCAACGCTTGGGGTTCTGCAATGCAAACAGACTCTTTTCAGGACAACAGTGTCTATTTTCTCCAAACACACTTCAGGAAATGATTAGACGCCTTTTAAGCCATTTCCTATTATTATTTTTCTGAAATTAAACACAAGCACGTGGTTAAAACTGTGAACTCACTTGTGCAATGGTTACTATTATTAGCTGATGTTTATTGTGCTTGCTCTTGTTATCTGAACCACAATAGCCCCCAAAGTTCAAAACTGAGTTTAACTGAGTTTATAAAATGCCACCTGTTCCATACGTCTGTTAAGAAAGCCCTAGAACCCAACAAGAAGGAATAGGGTTTTAGTAGCAGGTGGCTCAGTGGCTAAGACGCTGAGCTTGTCAATCGAAAGGTTGGCAGTTCAGCGGTTCGAATCCCTAGTGCCGCGTAATGGGGTGAGCTCCCGTGACTTGTCCCAGCTTCTGCCAACCTAGCAGTTCGAAAGCACATAAAAAAGGCAAGTAGAAAAATAGGGACCACCTTTGGTGGGAAGGTAACAGCGTTCCGTGCGCCTTTGGCGTTGAGTCATGCCGGCCACATGACCACGGAGACGTCTTCAGACAGCACTGGCTCTTCGGCTTTGAAACGGAGACGAGCACCGCCCCCTAGAGTCGGGAACGACTAGTACATACGCGCGAGGGGAACCTTTACCTTTACATATTTTCCACGGAATGGGACATACTTGTCATGGCCAGCTCACCACAACCAACTCACTGCTGGCCAACTAGCTACAAGACAATTCAACAATTCAATTTAATTATTTAAAATAATTTAAACATTAATTTAATTTTGGTCATTCAGGTTTCATTTTGTCCCTTCTTTGGCATCTTTTCTCTAAAAAGTCTGTAGAGATTCTCCGTCATCCAGGTCATGGTTGTCCCAAAGATGCTTTTTCAGGAGGCCACTGGACTTTCTCGTTTTTGCCTTTTGAAGACATTTCACTTCTTTTCCAAGAAGTTTCTTCAGCACCAACAGGATAGTGGGGATCAATCCATCAATCCTTCCATTCCCCACTATCCTGTCAGAAATGCTGTTGGGTTTCCTGCCTAAGCAAGGGGTTGGACTAGAAGACCTCCAAGGTCCCTTCCAACTCATTCTATTCTATTCTATTCTATTCTATTCTATTCTATTCTATCCTATCCTATCCTATCCTATCCTATCCTATCCTATTCTTCGTTGCTGCATCCCCGTGATCACGTGATCAAAATTCAGATGCTCGGCAACGGACTCGTATTTATGACTGTCCTGGGGTCACGTGATCCCGTCTTGCCACTCTCTGACAAGCCAAGTCCATGGGAAAGCCAGATTCACTTCACAACCACGTTACTCACTTAACAACTGCAGGGATTCACGGAACAAACGTAGCAAGAAAGCTCGTACAATGGAGCAAAACTCCCCTTACAAGTATCTCGTTTAGCAACAGAAATGATGGGCCCAATTGGGGTCATAAATCGAGGACTACCTGTATTTAAATTAGCTGACCCTTTAGAAAAAAAAAATTAGAATCTTTTCATGAACGAAGGCAAATCTTTTCCTTCAAAAGACTTCCTCTCCAAAGCTATAAAGGCCTCGCTCTGCTTTTCAAAATCCATGTTTTTTTCTACAGAATACAGAAAGGTGAGCTTGGTTGGGTTCCCTTGGCTTGGAGCCCACCTAGAACCACTGAATTCTGGCAGGGCTATTTTCTAGCAAATGTGAGTGGTAAATTGTATTAAGGTAGACATGTTTGGTCTTGGAGAAATTTCACACAACTATTAATATTAATCCCAACAGGTTGAAAATTGGCTGAAAAATTCCTAACTTACTCTCCCCCCCTGGGGCGGTCATACTGGTGCCATTCCCCTGGCGATCTTTACTCACCAAAATGTAATAATAATAATTGTGCTGCTCGGTTGCAAGCCAACTGCTCACGCCTACAGTAGACAATTCCAGAGTCACGCCCGCCAACATCTTCCCCTGGCAGGAATTTACAAC